GACACCAGCGCACCAAATGACGACTCTGGATCCAAAGTATCTTCACCAAGAGGCTCAATTGACGACCCTCTTCTTCCGCGCCGGCTCTCATCCGGTAGCTCATATGGCCAGCCCCGAAGACACGATGCGAGGTTAAAACACAAAATCCACATCGAATCAGAAGACCTTACAGTTGTTGTCGCTGGCTTTTCCACGGACTTAACTGGATTACTGATGTACATTGTTTTATGCATCTTGACACTAGGGTTGGCCTGTCTAGTGTTTAGATGGTTTCCTAGGTGGCGAGTACGGCTAGTCGGGAGACCGACACGACTTCAGACTTGCCAATGGGTTGCAATTGAAGTAACATTATTCCTCCTATCTTGTTGATTATCACTATTCCAGTCGTCACTAATGCAGCACAGGATCAACGGAACCAATTTAGCGTGTATAAAGTTATCGAGCAAGAATATGGTCGTCCTCTTTCGACTATCTTTGCAAGCCCGGAAATTTGCTCAAACGACGAAGACAACGACCCCACAATACCACTATTACGTTTCGTTGAATACAGATATCTGCGTTTTTTCTACCACCCTATCCTAGACAGATTTTGTTTGGTCAGTGGCTGGAGGGATCCTTTGTGGACAAATTCGAAGGTAATGCGGAATGGATTGGATGCCGATGATCGCGACAGTCGCGAGCAAATATTTGGCAAGAACCTTCTTGATATTCAGCAAAAGTCGTCAGGTCAATTGCTTGTGGACGAGGTAAGCCCCAAGGCGTTGAATCTACGATATCAATTTTCTCACGTATGGAGGCATTCCACCCATTCTATATATTCCAACTTGCGAGCCTCATCCTTTGGTCAATGGACGAATATTACTACTATGCTGTTTGTATATTCGTCATCTCTGTCTTCAGTATAGGCTCAACGGTCATTGAAACAAAATCAGTATGCCATCCCATGATAATTAGTTGGTCGCTGTTGCTCATCAACCTCCAGACCATGAGTCGTTTGCGGGAAATCTCATTGTTCGAGTGTGATATTCGTGTTCTCAGAAATGGTTTCTGTATGATTACCCATTTCCCACTTCCCACTTCCCACTTTCTACAACCTCCTATGGGTGCTAATAGCTTTTGTAGGGAGATCTGTCTCTTCTCGAGACCTTGTGCCTGGTGACGTCTTTGAGTTTTCTGACCCGTCTTTACATCAAGTTCCTTGTGACTGTATATTGCTGTCTGGTGACTGCATTGTGAATGAAAGCATGCTCACTGGTTAGTGAATACCACCCTAGTATAACTAATACAAAGATCAACCAGAGAGAAGATTTGACTAACTGAGAAACCACGATAGGCGAATCCGTGCCTGTCTCAAAAAGTTCGCTAACAGACAGTGCACTCAAGTATCTTAACCTGAGTGCCCCATCCATCCACCCTGCCATTGCCAAACACTTCTGTTTCAATGGGACGAAAGTGATTCGGGCTCGACGTCCGCAAAATGTTGATGATGATGAAGCCATTGCATTAGCGATTGTCGTGAGAACAGGATTCGCAACAACAAAAGGCGCCCTGGTACGCTCTATGCTGTTTCCTAAACCTACTGGTTTCAAATTTTATCGCGACTCCTTCCGCTACATATCTGTTATGGGTGTGATTGCTATTCTAGGTTTCATCGCTTCATTTGTGAACTTCATTCGACTAGGGGTAAGTGTACACAAAAGGGAGAATGTTCTTTTTTTTTTCTAATGCCTCCTAGCTTTCCTGGCATTTGATAGTTGTCAGAGCCCTTGATTTGATCACCATCGTTGTGCCACCTGCTTTGCCTGCGACACTGACAATCGGTACCAACTTCGCGCTTTCTCGACTAAAACAGCACAAGATATTTTGCATTAGTCCACAAAGGCAGGGGAAAATCCGGTCCAAGGTGGTTCTCGAACTAACCGATAAGTAGGGTCAATGTAGGTGGCAAGCTAGATGTTGTCTGTTTCGACAAGACAGGCACTCTGACAGAGGATGGGCTGGACGTTCTTGGAGTGCGGTCTGTGACCCGAGATATGAGGTATCTATGTCTGCCACCAACTTTATTTGTATTCGCTAACTCCTCGAAAGTCTTTCTGATGTTCTTTCTGAAGAATCTTTGAAGCTTTCCGCTCCAGACCCCGACGCTCCGTTCGATATTGAGAAGAGGAACAGTCTCATATACACCATGGCAACATGTCACTCCCTAAGAGTTGTAGATGATGAACTCTTGGGGGACCCTCTGGATGTGAAAATGTTCCAATTCACAGGCTGGACTTACCAAGAAGGCGGAAGTCAGGGGTCTGAGCAACAGAATTCCAAATATGAAACTATAATGCCGTCTATTGCAAAGCCGGCGATATCTCAAGTCAATGACTATCAAGTTAATGGGGCCAATGTGAGAACACGCTAACTCATCCGGGCCAGAGTGTGTCGAACTGGGTGGAAAATGCTAACGACGTCCAATGATTAGGCCCATTTGGAGCTAGGCATTTTGCGTAATTTTGAATTTGTGTCACAGCTTCGCCGCTCAAGTGTAGTAGTGCGACAATTTGGTGACAGCGGTGCTAGCATTTTCGTGAAAGGTGCACCAGAAAGTGTCAAGGATATATGTCTTCCTGAAAGCTGTGTGTATAGATATACCTTTATATTAACGGTCATGTCACTAACATCAGTATCACTCAATAGTGCCCTGGAATTTTGATGACCTTTTGAATCATTACACCCACAAAGGTTACCGTGTCATTGCTTGTGCCACTAGGTATATCCCAAAATTAAGCTGGATGAAGGCACAGAAAATGGAACGGAGAGACACAGAACGTGACCTGACATTCCTTGGGTTTATCATTTTCGAGAATAAACTCAAGTTAGGCACTGCCAAAACTATTGCAGAGTTAAATCATGCTGGAATTCGGAATATCATGTGCACTGGTGATAATATACTGACAGCGATCAGTGTTGCTCGTGAGTGTGGGTTGATCAGCGAAGACGAAAAGTGTTTCATCCCGCATTTTGTGGAAGGTTAGTTGTTTTCTATATCTTCTGATCAATCTTTAACCTTTTGAAAGGTCGGTCTCCCGGCGAGTCTTCACTATCCTGGGAGAGCGTCGATGATCCAACTTTTACGCTTGACCAAAATACATTGATGGTATCCACCCCCTAACTACTCTTCGCGTTCCTTGAAAATGACAAAACGGGGAAATAAATCGAGACTGACTGCTTGCAGCCTTCGTTGGACTCCCCTGAAGTTGACCTATCAGTACCAACCAATGCTTGTAACATTAGCAAGTATTCACTGGCTGTCACTGGAGATGTGTTCAGGTGGATGCTGGAATACAGCAGCGAGACTGTCGTCAAGCGCGTAAGCTTTAATTCTTAACATTTCCTCGCTCGGTTCAATCAGATCTAGGCTTTGATGCTGCTGCCTTTTAACAATGTTAACATGAGCAACAGGTCCTCGCGCGTGGAAATGTCTTTGCACGAATGTCACCTGACGAAAAACATGAGCTGGTCGAGAAGCTCCAGTCCATTGATTACTGCTGTGGGTTTTGCGGCGACGGCGCAAACGATTGCGGTGCATTAAAAGCTGCAGACGTCGGTATATCTTTATCTGATGCCGAAGCTTCCGTTGCTGCCCCCTTTACCAGTCGCCAATTCGACATATCTTGTGTACCAACACTGATAAGGTACCCATCCCTTCTACACATATCTAGATATATCGCTAAATGAGTTATAGGGAAGGTCGAGCAGCTTTGGTCACTAGTTTTTGTTGTTTCAAATACATGAGTCTTTACTCGGCCATCCAATTTTCAACGGTCAGCTTTCTATACACGTCAGCGTCGAACCTTGGTGACTTTCAAGTATGTCCCATATGACAGTAAACTACTGGCTTTCTACTGACTGGGTCCAGTTTCTCTTCATTGACCTGGCTCTTATATTACCCATCGCAATATTCAGTAAGTGACGTGCACAGCTTGGCTGGGCGACATGGAGAATTAGATTTTTTGGGCAAAGAAAGAATGGAATATTAATTCACATTACTGGGCTAACTGGTTTGTGTTCAACAGTGGGTTGGACTGGCCCTTATCCTATACTTTCTAAAAAGCGACCAACAGCGGATCTGGTTTCGCGGAAAGTTCTGACTCCTTTACTCGGGCAAATCTCAATCTCTGTTTTGACACAATTGGTTGCATATAAGACAGTTCAGTGGCAGCCATGGTATGTTGATAACAAAACGACATTCATACCCATATACTTACCAACTCTTACGATAGGTTCAAGCCTCCTCGGGTCGATTCTGATAAGAGCAATATCGCCAATTCCGAAAATACCGCTCTGTTCTTAGTTTCTAGCTTTCAGTACACATTGGCAAGTGTTGTTCTGAGCGTGGGGCCGCCTTTCAGAATGTCAATGCGGTCAAACTGTCGGTATTCCAGTCTCATCTTCATCAAGCAAATGCTAATTTTCACAGTACCTTTCGTTCTTGTTCTTCTTATAGACTTGGCACTTGCCTGCTTCATGCTCTTCACACCGTCGAAATGGATAACTCGAGTCATGCAGTTAACTTTCCTATCAGAAGGTTTCGCATGTTGGTTATTCTTACTTGTTATGGGCTCGTTTCTACTCTCTTGGGTCTCGGAGAGGGCAGTTTTCCCTGAACTTGCAAGAGCAGTCGGGCGTGCACATACCTTCTTGAGACCCGGTCATCGCAAGCAGCGTCGTCAATACAAGGTATTGCTTGAGGAGATGCAGGTGAAATAAGAGACGCAAAACGTTCGAGGTTCGGCGCCAAACGATAGTTCCAGTCATTGACTGGGCCATCATTTACTGGTTGTATGTGTACGGAGATCTGCATATAATCAATTCCTGTATGATTGGAAAGCAAGGGAGCCTTTTAGGGAAGCTCTAAATCTAGGTATGTTATACCAGGATATTCTCTAGATCAAAGGCATAAGTTCCTGGGAAATGAAATCATCAAATAACATATTCGCCGTTCGAGTCTTGTAGCATAGAATGAGCATACACCCATGCGTATCATATTTATACTATCGGGTTACATCTCAAATAACTGTATCTGATTATACCCGATATTATATTTTCCTCTCATGGGTTGTTCCATGGGCTAGCAAATAAAGATACCATTTGAACACTCGCCGTGTCCGAGAGCATTGATGAGGGACTTGTGACTCTTGGATATCGTCACGTGTAGTTTTATGCCAACAATGAGGATAATTATCGGCAACAAGTAGAACGTATATAGATTCGACCAGTTTCTTCCTCTGACACGAGTTATGGCGAATAGGTTATCGAAAGGCATATCAATTATATGGCACCGTATTAAATACACTTCGAGTGAACTGGCTTAGTGCTCCCAAGGATGTTTCCACCCCAACAACGCAGGCCCGTCCTTTTTAGCGCGGTACATTAACTATACCAAAAGAGTATCAGTAAATATAAAGAAGTCCATTACATATGCCTTGTGGAAGGGGCCATACAAAGAACCACATGCTAGCACCAAGGGCGGTCGCTGTAAAGCGATAAAGAGGCCTTGCTGGGTGAATATGAATTGGATGGTTCGAAGCCATTCTATAACACGATAGTATTAGTACGAGTAACACGTAGTAGACATCTGGTACATACTTTGAAGTGACTCAAATATTTCAAGTCAGAGCAAACTGTGTCGTGTCTATCTTGTGTAGAAGGACCAGAAACTATTGAGATAGAGGTTCCGGAAGTCACGGAGTCACGTGATGACCACCGCAGAGTGCTAAATGCACGTGCTAGATAACTTAAGGTTAATCCTGGACTAAGTGATTATTATCTTGTCATAACAGATCATACTTCCTTTCAGATCCAAGTAAAATCTCTTGATTGTTTCTCGCTGTGGGTTGTCTCTCTGTTCGAATCTTACTGATAAACATTGTCCTACTATAATATTACTTGGATTGCTATCATTTACCTCACACTATCCCTCGGCCTTCCATCTGTCGCACCACTCTTTACCCAACGGACACCTTGTGGACATACTCGCACAAAATTGATACTCGCCGCTTCCATATTCTCATGCCGACAACTTATGGCATGGCCCCGATAGAAGCATCCCGAATTAGGTTTTCTTAAGAGCCTGGGATACCAACCCGACCATAAAGGCTGCACTTTTTTGGATATGCGTCATCGACCTTGAGAAATATAATTTTGTCAACCCGGCCTCTGTGAGAGTGTCAAACTCATAATGGCGAAAGCGTCTCTCGAACGGGATATTGATGGAAATCCTAGATTTCAGGGTTGCACCGGCATTCGTGACTTTGAATTCTTGGGTAAACTCGGCGAAGGTACTTTCGGGTAGGTTGTCTTCATAACATGTTATGCGGACACATCACTAATTAACCTCTAGGGAGGTTTACAAGGCTAGATCGAAGAAAGACAATTCTGTTGTTGCCCTGAAAAAGATCCTTTTGCACAATGAAAAGGATGGAGTGAGTACCTCAATCCTTTTTCCGTTGCTGTATACAGTCTAATAATACCATCAGTTTCCAATAACTGCTCTCCGTGAAATTAAGCTTTTAAAAATGCTCTCCCATGGTAATATATTACAACTTCAGGAAATGGCTGTTGAACGGGGTAGAGGTAAGCAAGCCCTTCTTCTCCATTGGGAATATCGTGGCTTATTCCTCTCGAGGCGAAGGAAGAAAGAAACCCAGCATGTACATGGTAACGCCTTACATGGAACACGATCTATCAGGTTTATTAGAGAACCCTGCCGTTCAGTTCACTGAGCCCCAGATCAAATGTTACATGCTACAACTACTTGAAGGTCTCAAGTATTTACACGGGGTACAATCTCACTTACAAATCGAAAGAGAACAACATTTCTAACTTATTATAGAATCGCATCTTACATCGTGATATGAAAGGTATTTTCCCAAACATCAACATCAGAGATCCAGATCGCGATGCCCAACTGACAGCTATACAGCTGCCAACCTCCTCATTAGCAATAAAGGGGTTCTTCGGATCGCTGATTTTGGTCTCGCTCGGCCCTTTGATGAGCCGCCCCCACAACCAGGCAAAGGAGGAGGCGAAGCAAAAAGGGATTACACAACACTAGTTGTAACCCGATGGTATCGCCCTCCTGAATTGCTGCTTCAGTTGCGCCGTTACACGTCAGCAATTGATATGTGGGGTGTTGGGTAAAGTTCTCTTGTCGATCGTCGATAGCTCTGATGCTAATAGCTCTAGATGTGTTTTCGGCGAAATGTTCAAAGGAAAGCCAATTCTTGCCGGGAACAGTGACCTAAACCAGGCTCAACTTATCTTCAGCCTCGTCGGTACACCCACCGAAGAGAACATGCCGGGCTGGAGTTCTTTGCCTGGTTGTGAAGGCGTGAAGGACTTTGGACACAGACCGGGCAATTTGTCCGAGGTTTTCAGAAAGTATGGCTTCTTCACCGTGCTTTCAAAAATGGGCTGGAAAATATCTTGACATTTCCAAGGTCATCGTCTGACAATGAGCAGTCACAGCCCCGTAACCTTGTCACTACTACGTGAACTTTTAAAACTCGATTGGCGGAAGAGGATCAACGCTATCGATGCACTAAAACATCCCTATTTTTCAAGCCCACCATTCCCTTCCCGCCCAGGTGAAATCCCTCATTTTGAGGACTCACATGAACTGGACAGAAGGAGATTTCGAGGGCAACGGGCTGGTATGCCCCCGGCACCTGCAGGGGGGTCGGTGGGGATGGGACCGAGTGGAAGTTGGGCCTCAAATTGCGGAACCAGGGCAGGAGGTGATAACAAAGTAAGCCGAAATCCTGGTCCAGCTCGTATGGGGAGATCAAACATGTCTGGAAACTATGGCAATCCCCTACACACACTCAATCGGGGGAACGAAATGCATTCTGCACGAATGAGACCGCGAATCGAAGATGTGGGCCAACCGGTTCCGTCCTTGCAGGTTGAAGGTCACCTTCCTCCTAAGCCACCGATCTCGACCTATCAGGCGAGAGCTGCAAACAATGGTGGCAGAATAGGACGCGACGGGAATCCCCAAAGAAATAATCAGGGGACGTATGATCGTGATCGACGAAGCAAAGGCAGCTCCAACCTAAACTTCGATAAGCGCGACCCAACCTATGATCAATCGAAATCGAGTCGGTGGGATCATTCGAGGGACAATCCACCGAGGAGGCGCAGCCGAAGCCCATGTATCAATGAAGGTCGTGTAGCGGGAAACGCGTTCTATCGACGGTGACCAGTGTAATCTACTTGGTTTAAAAGGGTAGTATTCTCAGGACATTACCACAAATCGGGTTTGAGGATATGTCCAATGATAAAGTCTATCAATGTATAACAAAATCTTCCGTGGAGCTTTGTTGTGAATGCCGGGATTGCCCGTTTTGTGGTCACAAAAGACATCCGATCCGGGCAAGGTGATAACCTAAATGACTAGATCTGTCTCTGCAGATTCAAGTGACTTAAATGTCTATACATTTACTTAGGCAACAAATTCATTCTATTATACTGTACTTTTAGCCACCCCGAGTCACATTGCTGTTTCAGTTAATCTTCCGCTCCGTACTTCTATGTAGTCAAACCGCACACTCCAGCAGTTTTACACAAAACATGGAGCATTATAAAACGGGCAATTAGTATAACACCCGCGTCATAATACGAGCTAAATCGGAGTCTGGTCAGCGAAGTATTGGCTTGGGGGAGTAAAGTTCATACATGAAAGGCTTTCCAGTCTCTCGTACAGATCCTTGATAGTAGCGTTATCGACGCTGCTAATATCTGCCATGAGATAAGCAACCTAGACACTGTTAGAAACCATTGCTATACATATAATGGGGAGCTAATGACCCACATCGCCTCTGCTATCGGTCATTTGTTTATCGACATTATGATCACCAAGGATCTCGTTCACTGCAAATATCAGTCAAAGGTCTCATCACTGGTACTCATCTGGCCTACCTTTGCGCAGCACACCAGGTATATTCCTATGAATGTAAATCACCTATATCCACGGGTGCACGTTAGAGATCAATCTGACATGAGGGGAATCTATACGGTATGGTATGTTAACTTACCCGAGCATGGTTAGGTTCATCCATTGTCAAAGAGCGAAGAGCAACCTCAGGGAGGTTGACTGCGCCCAGGGTTGTACCCATGTTGACATATCTCACTAAAGCTTCTGCAACCTCAACACCTATAGCACGCTGGGCTTCTTCGGTGCTTCCCCCAATGTGAGGGGTAAGTATAATATTCTTCAGATTCCGAATGTCCGTTCCCCAGGTGTTGAGGTCAGCGTTGAAATAGTCACCATTACCTGCAGGCTCATTAGGATAAACGTCGAGGGCAGCGCCGGCGACCTTTCCAGATCGCATGGCTTCGATTAAGGCCGGAATATCGACAACGCTCCCACGGCTCGCATTGATCAAATAACTCCCATTTTTCATTTGTTCGAATTGGAGTTTTCCGATCATATTCTGGGTTTCGGGCAGTTCAGGGACATGGCAGGTTATAAAATCAGATTTAGAAAGCAAGGTCTCCAGCTTCGGGACCTGGCAAGCAGTCCCCAGAGCCATTAGGTTCACCACATCATAGTAGAGAACCGACATACCCATGGCTTCTGCAAGCACTGAGAGCTGGGCACCGATGTGGCCATACCCGATGATTCCTGGCATTCCATCGCGGTTAGCCCGAATCAAGATGCAGTGGTTCGTGACATAGACCTACCGAGCGTCTTCCCCCGAATTTCCCAGCATTTGTTGCTGACTTTGTTCCAAGTACCATTGTGCATTTCGTTGGAGCGATCGCCAAGTTGGCGAGCAAGGGCGATTATTTCCCCTATCACGAGCTCTGCAACGCTCCGTGAGTTGCTGAAGGGGGAGTTGAAAACTGCAATGCCATGCTCTGCTGCATACTGAAGATCAACTTGATTGGTTCCAATGCAAAAGCAGCCCACAACAATCAAATTCCGGGCTTCCTTCAGGACACGAGCTGTGAGCTTCGTCTTTGAGCGGATCCCAATCACATGCACATCCCTGTTGTTTGAATTGAGGATTGATCAGTACATTGAAGCGTTGTTAGCTAGATGCTTCTAACCTGATTTTCTCAATCAATTCATCTTCCGGCAGAGACGATTTAAGAAATTCGACTTGGTATCCTTGTTGAGTGAGGATTTCTCGCCCGGTTTGGTTGACATTCTCTAGAAGCAAGACTTTTATATCTTCAGTCGCGAAGGGCTTTAAGTGCTTCGTGTTGGCCAGGGGAATGGTGCGATTTGCAAGTGCTGAACCTGGGTGGCTGGAGGCCTGTGATGGGAAGGACGCGGTGGGAGAGGTCGAAAGACCCAAGCTCTGCGCATCAATATCTCTGGGGAACGCTGCCATTGTGAATCTTCAAAGGGTTGAAGCGAACAAAAGATATATCAAGGAAGTAGTAGGAATTGGCATGCACCCTGACATATAAATTAGCCGGGCTAATTAGCAATGCAAGTGAAAAAACACGTCGAAGATGGAATGGGAGAAAATCAGAACAGGTAATAAGTGATGATTTTATACCTCCGGAACCGGACATGAGTAGATAGACACTTTTCACCAAACCATAGTAACTTGGTGATTATCCAGGGCATGACTCATCTAATATAGGTGGGGCAATGCTAAAGGTGCTGTACCGCGGGGCACTTCATCTTCCACGATTTGAAGCCACGCCCTTACGTGCACGCACACACGCACATCATACTACACCATACAATTACTAACTGGAATGGTCAATCCTATGCAATCTGACCTGATAAAGGCTAACAATATACGAAGACAAAATCAATCCAGTATGAATACCTGGACATCATTGAAAGAACTAGTAACCTTGTAGTAATATTGCAAAGAAAAATTCTTTAAGCTGCCAGGATGAGCTTTCCTGTATCTAGCCAAGTACCGCCTTCCGTGGGTCTATAACCACAGATACCATCAAAAGGATACTGTGCCAAGAGCATCAAGTCCTTTTCGCTACTTGCACCTATACTTTCAAGTTCTGCACCTTCTTTGTAGCTTCTTCAGCGTCACTAACGGGTTTCGGGATCTGCCTTCCCTTGACTTTGTGCGAAGTGCTGTCTTTAGGAAGCTCCTTGGTGTAAGGGATAAATTCCGGTGCGCCGGGGATATACTTTCTCAAGGGTTCCGGCACAATAATCCCCTAGATCCAATTAGTACCGAAGTAAGCAACAGAAAAAAGGCCAGTTCAAAACATACATCTTCTGTTTGGTAATTTTCAAGGACACAGCAGAGCGTACGTTCTGTGGCACACAGCGTAGCATTCAACGCATGAACGTATGATTTCTTCACGTCTGTAGCTTTCTTAATACCGTAGCGTATCTCCAAGGCTCGGGATTGGTAGTCGGTGCAATTAGAGCAAGAAACCAATTCCTTGTATTCTCCTTGGAATGGGAACCAGGCTTCGAGATCATATTTCTTCGCTGCTGCGTTATTCAATGCCCCGGAGGCAATAGCAACGACCTGGAAGGGTAACCCGAGGGATCGGTAGAATTCTTCCGAGTTTGCCATCATTTCGTCAAAAGTGCGCCACGAATCTTCCGGTTTCGTGATGACAAATTGCTCGATCTATGATTTGGTCAGGACGAAGTAGACAATGTGATCAAAGTAGAGACATTACATGCCTTCTCAAACTGATGCACCCGGAAGACACCCCATGCATCTTTACCATGTGACCCTGCCTCTTTTCTGTAGCATGTGCTATAACCTGCGTACCTAAATTTGGTCAGCTTCCTCAGAAACGCGGGTATAGAAGGGAGAAACGGCAGCTTACTTGATGGGCAGATCTTTATCTTGAAGCCATTCACTATCATGCAATGCAGACAGTGGCTGTTCTGAAGTAGCAATAAGATACTTATCAGTTGACTTGTCTTCACTCTCCGTGACCTTATAAAGCTCCTCATCAAATTGCTCAAGCTGGGCTGTCTTCGCCATCATTTCCTTGAGCATAAACTGTGGGGGCTGGTTTGGCTTGTAGCCCTTTCCCCAAAGAAATTCCAAGCCGTAGTTAATCAAAGCAAGGTTCAAGAAAAGACCATAGCCAGTCAAGCAATAGCCACGGTGGCCGACGATTTTCACACCACGCTCCGGGTCATAGCCATCAAGTCGCGTGAGAACCTCATGGTGAGAGAGACAATCACGTTTCTCGACAACAGTCCCTTCAGGAGACCAAGTCTTCGTCACAACGTTGTCATCCTATATTATACTTAATTGCCGTCCCCATTCCCGGTGCGTTTGATATAAATGCATACCTCGGTGTTGCTGACGGGGACCGATTCATGGACATAGTTCCCGATGGTTCGTATCTTGTTATCCCTCTCTTTCTCTTTCTGCAGGGCCAGTTCTTCGGCCTCCCTTTTGGACTTCTCCAGGGCAGATTTTTGTTCAATTAGGGCGCTTGCGTCTTCCTTGGCCTACTCGAAGTGCGCGTCAGAGAAGATCAACACAAAATGCGTATTCTGGAATTCTCTGGACATAATCTGGAGATCTAACCTTCTTCTTCTTCCCAATTTCTTTCAGTAGGGCGTTGAGTTGAGAGCCAACTTGCATTACCTCATACCGTGCTACAGGTCATTGAGAGATCAGCCAGCCTGTTCCGTCTAGATATTACTTGATGTTGGATAAACTTACCCCGACGAGCTTCTTCGTATAATGTAATGACTTCATCAACCACAGTTTCAGAGGCAAACCGTCTTCGCTGGCTCTCTTTGATTTTGTTTGGGCTTCCACCCCGCTCCGTGACAAAGTCAGCAAGATCCAGCATCTTGGAAAATTTGTTCGTGATATGTTCAAAAAGGAAACCCTATGATATGTGTAGTCTCTTTGAGGATTTTTGATTCCTCAATTATCATAGGCTAAAAGGTTATTGATTACCGGCCAGTGTTCAACCACGAGGTAATGAGGGGTTCAAGGGAAAAAAAGAAAAGACCCTAAGGGCGAAATTAAAGTAATGCGTGGAACTAAACAGCGAGGGGTAAAACTAACTCTGGGCACTACTACTGTGCCAGACTGGGTCCGTACGGAGCTGTACTGGGTAATTTATTCAGTAATTTACTCGGTCCTTTGGTGTTCGGCATACACTACTTATACAGGCCACTGCAGTTACTTGATCTGTGTACGGAGTACAGTGGCATGCCTTTCTTCTGTTTCCATGATCTTCACGGAAAAGAAGAAGCACATATTCTTGGCAGCATATATATAGCACGCACCTTTACATGTATATGAGATAAGATCTAGATCTGCTGGGCTCTCATACTTCTGGGTTGTTTTAACCTTGCATCATAACTTATAATATATTTCATAAATTCTGACTGTAATTTTTACTATATGTATTGATCTAATGTACCCTAATAGTGTGCGAAGTACTCCGTACACACACTTGCACATATTATACACAAAGTCTATTAGAGAGTACCATCTACCCAAAACTCTCTCATGACGTCCATACTCTGTTTAAAACATCTAGCACAAAACAAGTGCTATTCTAGAAATACAAAAGGGAACAGCTCAATCCTGTGATTCACTTGTACATGAGTCTTCTAAATTCTAACATCAAAAAAGCATGTATACCACATCAGTCGTGGTAAAGATAATATAGGAGAGTTTTTTTGAGGGGTGATCAATGAAACTAGGTTAATGTCCAGTAGGTTCTGTATAACAAGCTTCCTATACAGTTAGATGCTATGGGAATCAGGGCCTCACAATGAATAGTCTGATCTGTAGATTTGTATGGTCCAGTCAGAGCTCATGAATAGTTATATATGATTGGACTTAAGTCATCCAAAAGTACAAGAACAGATAGCTCAGACTCTTAAGTAGTAAGTGTTAGCCTATGCAAGCCTAGAAGTGTGTACCTGATAACTCGGAGACTGATTATAAAGAGTGGTCTGGTTTAGAAATCCAAGGTACCCAATTTCTCTAAATGCTAATCCCACATAGATTACACTTGCCTATTGACATATTCACATCACATTACAATGCACTTATTACCTCCAGTTGGTTGTGATGGATTTTGTGTCTTCTCGATTTCCCCAATCATTAGATCAAAAGCTCTTTCAACATTGTAACCAAGACGAGCGCTTGCCTCTGTGAAAGCACAACGAAATTCCTCCGCTAATTGCCGACCTTCATCTACAGACACGTGGCGCTGTTCGGGCTTCAGGTCACTTTTGTTTCCAACAATGGTAAGAGGAACATGGTCCGCACCCTAAATCAAATATTAGTTACACTAGATATTGCCAGAAACAACCTCGGGTACTTACAAGGTGGTTTAAGATTTTGTCCCGGATAACTCTGACCATATCGAAAGACTGGCGCGAAGCCACGGAATAGACAATAATATACCCATGAATTCCAATGAAGTGTTTGGAGTTCAGAATACTATATTCGTCCTTATATGGCATTAGTCTCTGCGAAGAGATTGATAGAAAAACAAGTCTCCCTTACTTGACCGGCTGTGTCAACAATCTCAGTTGCAAAATCTTGGCCGTTGTGTTTGATAATTCGGCTGAACGTGTTTTCAATTGTAGGATAATAGCTCTCTACAAAATGCTGTTCAACGAATCGAACTGTGAGAGAAGACTTGCCTGCCAATTATTAGCATATGTTCGAGTAGATTTTGATCTCAAAGACGCCACTGATTAAGAATAATAGGAGCCTAAGCATACCCACTGAACGGCTGCCAACAATAGCTATCTTCCGCTGTTTAGGTGATACAGGCATCTTCTCCCTCAAGGTAACAGCACAGTAAGAAAGATGGTATGTCCAATGATAGTTAGAATAAAGAGAGAAGGGCTGATATCAATTAGATACCAGATCTGTTGGATTAGGTGTGAGGCTAGTCAATTCCGGATGTAGGGGTATCAAGCGAACGCCTGAAATGAATGATAGGTAGGTCACAATGTAAATGAAATAACAGTCAGAATAGCCGTACAGTCATGCAGATTTGGATGCTTTTTTGATTCAAATCACAGGGTAAATATAGAGCTTGACTTCGGGTGGCAAAGACATTGAAATCTAGTGTGCAAGTACACATCTCCAGGTAGCAGATGGCTTTCCGAAGGTATCATCTAATATACAAACAGATCAAACATGTGACGGGCTAGAACACACTGCACTTCCCGATGAGTACGAGTGTGGCTGTGATAGGTCAGGCTTGACCCAAAGAGACATCTAGGTGGTCATAAAACTACCTATGTCTGACAAATATTTTACACACGGTACTTGAGAATCAGGGAATTCAACACTAGGAATACATTATACTTGTATGAATGAATTAATTTTTACTGTAGCAGGTTTGCCTATTTTGGATACTATCAACTGCACTGTGCGTCATACGTGGCTTGTCATGGAAGTGGCTGACTGCGGCAAAGAGCAGGCGGTAGGTAAATGGTGTATAAACACTGATACGCCTTCCATCTCAAAATATCATTTCTGTAAGATTAGTACTTGTTATTGTACATATCCTTGTATTTGTTTGTTGATATATTGCTACAAGGGTATTCAAATAATGGCTACAGAGAAAGTTTATCCAAAAAGCACGCGCTCAAGTTATGATATCATGAAAACAGCTTGTTACTAGCTAGAAGACAATAACTATCCGCACTCTTAACATTCACGTTCCTTTATGTGGGAGATGAAGTTCTTTAACCGGGTTGTAAGACCACCATCATAGTCAACCTTAGCCTCGATGGAAGGTGACTCTTGATCAACTTTTTGGTGATACTGTAAAAACTCTTCTGCTGTTGATAAAATCGTATCAAGTCCTTTAACTCCCAGTGACTGCTGTACCTGTGCACACGCGTCTTTATTTAAACACAGGTTCACAAGGAGAATCGAAAAATACCCAGTAACAACATTGTGATTGACATCGTGCACAGAGAGTACCTGGTGTGCTTATTAGCGGGGCCCTTTAGATTTACACGTTGAGGACCTACCTGGTTCACACAGTCAACCATTGAAGAGAACCGATCCAAAAGGAGTCGAATCAATGGCGTAGAGCCACGTCTCGACTCCATGAATATAGTCCTCGACAGCTCGCTCCTCTCAGTTATATTAATAAGAGCCCCTAGGGATAGTATTACAATGTTCAACAAGCTGTCTTCTTTGATCAGAAGACTCTCAGGAGTACTCCGGAATTCCGTATTGACGATCTCAACAAACCTGGAAATTAGCTCAGCGTTGGCGAACAAATTGCAGAAAGAAGGGCCATTATTCGTGATATTCAAAATCAGACGGGTATACAGGATCAGGAGTTGGCGGCCTTGGTCAAATATTCCAAAGCAAAGAAAGTTGTGAAGCTGGGCAAGGGGCTCGAAAACGCCGTGGTTGTAATGCTCCAACGAATCCGGTAAAGCAGTGTAATCTTCTAAGACGGAGAAGCTTTGGACAAGTATTCGAAACTGTTGGGAGGGTAATGGAAATTCCGAGTGTCTCGGGCTCATGGATACCAGAAGCTGGACAATCTGATTCATCAAAGACTCAGGAATCGGCTCAATAGCCTTACCCTTTTCCCGGAAACACGATAAAGCGGAATGCATACTTGAAAGCGCTAGAAACTGCGGTGAGAAATTGGCTGATGTTTCGTCGTCAATTAGTGAAGATAGCTGCGGTACTATCTTCCCGAGAGATATTTGCACGCGCTTCGAAAGGCCGGTAGGGCGACAAGTCGAGACTGACAGGATATCGTCGGTAGTAGTTAAGAGATGGGGGACAATTTCCAAAAGTTTTGGCCAAAAGCGCAGCAGCTGAGTAAATCCAAACGATCCACCGATGCACACTAGCCTGTAAGCACAAAGCAACAATGATTTGGAGACTATATCAAGGCTAGCTTCAGTACAATTCACAAGTCGCCCATCAAATTCGTACTCGGAGAAACGACGAGCAGAATTTGGCTCTGAAAGCTTTGCACATAGTTGAATGAGACTATTGCATCTTCCAGAAACCTGATTATAAGGGTCCTCAATATCTTCGAAGATGGAATCAATAGTCTCTCGAAAGCGCGCATTTTCACCCGCTTGCCTTAATTCATGTATGCTACGAACAGGCATGTTGTCATTCTGTTCTCCCTCATCTGCGCACTGAGTCGTGATCTCAGGAGTAAGAAAAGGTCGATTGTGACAAATGTCAGTAGAAGGGCCTAGGTCATGTCGGCTTTTTGAATCTCCTATAATCTCTCCTATGGTAGATGCATCGTTCAGGAACGAACGCTGACGTGCGTACGTTACTCGAGATCCCGCGAGCCTAGACGAGACAGCGCCACTCGAGATTTGTGAACCTCCCGCGTGAACAGTATTATGTTGATTGGTTTTCAGCGGCGGATTTTGGTCATTGATTTGAGCGAGATCGGAGCGTGAGATGCCATCTTCCCGTGACTCATCATCCGGTAACAAAGAGAGGAGACGGTCACTGTCTCGGCTTTCTGTTGCACCTAGAGAATCAATCAACCGTCTTCTAGAAGGTGTTATTTGTCTTGGCAGTGGGTTTGGATCTCTGGAGTGAGACCTATAATCGACTTCCTCGCTTGGTGCTGGGATGATATTGTGCGTGGCCAGATATGCTCCATTATGAGAAATTTTTGAAGATGGGGTGGTTGGTGATATAGAACTTTGGGCTTCGCTTGCAATAACGGGGCTCCGCGAAGAAGTGTACTCGATGTTCTGTCTTCCAGTGATATTTTTACTGGGCATCTCTTGGCATTCCATGCTATCAATATCATGTTCATGCTTGGAGTTATGGACTCCATGATCATCATGTGCAAACTCCGTGGATCGGTCATCATCAAGATGGGCTTGTTCACCAGACAGGAGCTTGCTTCGTTTCCTTCTCGCAAGTGTACCGAGGTCTCTTTTGCCATCTTGGCCAATTACATGTTTCCCGGCATGGCGCTTTGATGGAGCAGGTCTAGGGCTTCGTGTTTCTCGTTGAGTTTGATGTTGGTCAGTTGACGGCTGCTGTAGCTTGGTATAGCGACCAGATCTGTTGAATGACTCCAAGCTTGCTTCCTCCTCAGAAACAGATGGCGGCATAGGCTCCTCTGCAACTCTTTTTGTCGATTTACCGTAAGTCACAAGTCTCCTGGATGTTCGGCGCATGTTGACAGATGTTATAGCAGACGAGTTTGCAAGACACCAAAAATAGCCGCGAGTGCCACTGTCCAAATGTTGACAGAGCCCAAACTCCAAACCAAATTTGCGAAGTCAATGTACGTCAACGTTAATTATGAGTTGCAGATAGGGGAACCCTGTGGAGCTAGTTAGATAATGGGTAATAACATCGACTAAGGAGCAACCGGCCATCAGCAAATATGTACCGAATAGGAAATTTAAATCTTTAAACGGCTGAAATCTTTATGGCCGGGCAGCGCTCTAGGCTCTTTGGGTGTCTATGTAAATACAAGAGTTTGGGGTTGGTAATCAGATTAGAGGTCTTTTTTCTCCTGTCAGGGTGCTAATGAATTTGAACAGATGCAACATGAGCCAGATTAAGGTGATATTGCACGGGTGCAGGTAACTTTAAATTTCCAAGATAACATTGAAATATTACTAACTAGTACGTAAATGGTTAGTCTCTTGATTGATTATCTAAAAATGGAGTATTAATTGTTGACACGGCGCCCGGGGCATTGAAATGATCAATACACTCAACCTACCATTGTAAGTTCTAAATCTCTAGTAAAACGCGGGGGTTTCTGAAATTTGGCCGGCCAGTGGCCACCAGAATACCCACTGCCTACCTACCTTGTTCTAGTCTAGGTGGACTCTAATCTTCGATGTACTCGAAGGATGCACCCATTAATCAACATTACGGATCCATTCAATAAGTACCTTAAGTTATTAGGAGAACATCCATTTACATGGTCTGTTGTAGACTGTAGAGATTTTCAGCAGCAGTGGATCACCACTATTTCCATGTATAAAAACTCATCTTACGTATCGTAGCACACAATACTCGGTACACACTAGCCCCAATGGATACTAACAGCCACTGCACCAAACTGCTGAACAGCACTTTGGGAGGATTGGAACCGATTAATATCCCCAACAGATGCTGTATATGGGTCTTTTATGTAGCCATTAGTATGTATCAGGTATACAACACTGCATAACCCATGTATCTCACCAACTACAAGTCCACTGGGGCAGCACTGAGGTCTTGCTGCATTTGGAACAAATACTGGCGTAAGTTATTCTACGGCAACGTATAAATTACTAGTACATGCACAACATGGGATTGTCAGTCTAATAGTGCTCCCAAGACCAAATTTCTTGTGATATATGATGTGATTCTGGTTTATCAGGATACAGATTTATTTATGGAGTATTAAGAGAGTTCACAAACTGCAAGTGGCCCGGCAACATTTTTTGATTTGGTTACTATCTGGTATAATGATGACCCAAAACATAAAATACACGTACCAAGGGAAAACTAACTATATCTGCCCGTATCTGTGGTTGGTTGATTTAGTGCGGTTATTAGACACTATTCCTAATACCCAGTAGCAGTATTTGCCCATACTTTATGTTCTAGACGAGTTCCCCTCCCCCACCCAAGTCATCTTTCCCTCAATAAAAAGGATTTCTTTCAACGTTTGAACTAATATTGTACTGTCAATAGTCTCGGAAGATATACTACTGAAACAACACAGGCAACAATTCCTGTCACCACCAGAGGGATGGAATCTGCACCGTCACCAGCGCAGGGTGTTGGCCCTGTATACAGGCCCGATGGTGAAAAACCCACAGCAACTGTTTCCAAGGAGATGGGCTACGAAAACGTCCACGTTCTACCTCAAACACCCCAATTGATTGCTCTCCTGACGTAAGAGACATATATACAAAATACGACCTGCGAGTAATTATCAACTAGCCAGTGCTAACATATTTTACAGTATGATCAGAGATGAGAAAACTGTACGAGCAGACTTTATCTTCTATTCCAATCGGATCATTCGCCTTCTCGTGGAAGAAGGTTTGAACCACCTTCCAGTGGTGGAACGGTCTGTCACTACACCCGTTGGCCGTGCCTATCTAGGCGTCAAGTTCGAGGGGAAGATATGTGGAGTCTCAATAATGAGAGCAGGGGAGGCGATGGAGCAGGGCCTAAGAGACTGTTGCCGATCTGTCCGAATCGGAAAGATCTTGATACAAAGGGATGAGGAGACATGCCAACCCAAACTCTTCTATGAGAAGCTACCTGCAGATATCTCGAAGCGATGGGTTTTGCTTCTTGACCCGATGTTCGCGACCGGTGAGTGGATGCTCTCTGAACCCGGAAACAACGCCAAACTAATATAGATTTAGGCGGCTCCGCGACACTAGCCGTCGAGACCCTGAAAGCAAAGGGTGTGCCAGAAGATCGTATTCTGTTTCTCAACCTTATTGCAAGCCCGTCAGGGGTTGCAGATTTTGCTAAGCGATTCCCTAAGTTAAGAGTTGTAACTGCATTTATTGACCAGGGTTTGGACGACAAGAAGTGTGTATCGCCTTGTGTTAACTTTTCTGTCTTTTTTCACTCACCAAAACCAATAGATATATCATTCCTGGCCTTGGCGATTTCGGGGATCGTTATTATACCCTTTGAAATTTTGAAATTAGGTGGCATTTTGATAATTTACTCTCCATGTGGAGGGTGCAGTTGTCCTTACCCAATGAAACTAAGAGTGCAAATGAACCGCTTCTTCGTTCAACTAATGATTTACTAATCAGAGTCTCTACACTGGAAGAGCACTTATTCTCGTAAGAATCCTGTTTGCCCCGGGTCGATAGTTGCGCGCAGCATACGTGGGTAATTTGGTCCATGAGATGAATGTCGAGAGGCACCAGTGTATCCTATAGAGCGTGCATTTCGCCCAGACTTTAGGTTTACTGCAAGCAACCTAATATTCCCCAACGTATGGATCCGATCGTTCTGGAGCTTCACCTCCAAGGTTCCCATCTCCAGGCGACGGTTCCGACGGGCGTAGACTACGAGGGTTGCTTTCTTCGTACTTGGTTGCGGTATCCTTGGCAACTGCATCACATGCGTCCACCCAGTCCGAGTACACATCAACTGCCGCCGAAAGATCTGATACAAGGTTGTCAGTAATGGCCGCAACAAAAATGATGACGACGACGATGATGATGATAGACTTACAGTTGATTCCTGTTTGAAACCGCTGTCCGCACACCTTGCAAGACAGATTTCCTAAGCCCAACTTCTTGTCCAATTTCACCACAATAGAATTCTCGTGGTTGCAAAAGAGGCAGGCAAATGTTGTAGGAAGAGGTTCTTTCTGTAATTTGGAATGAGTATAAGCAATAAGTCATCTTCTGGGGGTTTCCACCTTTCTCGTCTGCTGGGGCTGTCGGCTTGACTTCTTTCGCTTTCCCTGTCGGCAGAACAATTATTGATCAAGCAGCATAGCTTAGTTCTGAATGAGGGGCCTACCATGCTTTAGAACTCGCGGGATAAAAAGAGAACTGTGCAGATAATATCCAGGTGGCACAGCTAAGGTACCAATTTGGACGGATAAGTTCTTGTATGAGCTGTCAAGACCTGTACCTGCGTGGTCAGGGTTGGAAATAACCGTTTAAAGACTGGGAACAGGCAACAACCTACTTGGCACTCAGATAGATCTCCTGAAAGTCAGCTAATAAAGCAACTATGATCAAGATGGTGGTCACAGAAACAAAAAAAAAAAGATGTGCTGATGTATCCGGACCTAATCGGGGTATGGGTGCTCTTGCAGTATTGGGGTAGGTTGAACAGCGTAAAGTTAGGTAGATCCTAGGTAGGTAGTTTACATAACTGAGTTCCAACTTTTTGCCTCTCCATGTAATTAGCCTTTCCATGCTTAGATCTACGAGGTAGAAAGTACTTTGAAGTCTTCTGAGACGGAACAAAGTGGAATATGTGATTGTCTCAATACTAATGTTGACAATAATACAGAGTAGTTATTGAGTACTATCAGTTGTTGATTTGAACTATTTGGCCGACTTCTATCTGTACTCACTCCGTAATCCGTGCAACTTTCGCATATCAACACGTGACAACAAACATGCCAAACCCTACAGGGCAATGAGGGCATGGTTTGAGGCAGCAAAACATGTTAGCGTCGTTGATAAGGGGCAGACTTTATTCTCTGGCAGCCATTCCCTCGGAGGACATAGGAACTTGTACTTAACCTTGTACGAAATACCGATATACTGGCTTAATCCCATGTTCGTATAAAGTGCGGGCAGGGAGTTCTGTTGCATCCTACGCAGGGAGCCAGCTTGGGATGGTCAATTAAGAAAGTGGGTTTTGAGAGGTAAGGTGGTACCACAGCCAGAAATTTCCCATATTGTTATGTATGAATACTTGTAAAGCACATTAGATAATGCATGTTTAATGGGTATTGAAGACGAATTTGTTACAGGAACAGATTCTATAGCAATCAGGTAGCAAGAGACAAGGCTTCTCGGGGGAGGCCGAGGGTACTAGCCATACTTGGTAGGGTAATGGTGTTAGACCCGCCCGCCACCACAAGATACATTCAATCATCCGTGGGGACTGTAATATTATGTAATCGGGTGATAGGGCCGACGCTCGCTTAGCCAACTTTTCTTGTGGGATTTCTTTTCACCACTTACCCGTCGACCCAGCAGCACGAAGCGCCGACCGTACAGACTCCTCCACCAGACCGCGCGGCGTGAACACTTGTCTGTCTTCAATCACGATTGGATAGACCAGATACGCAGCAATGGCCGTTGGAAAGTATGAGCTACCCCAAGCACGCGATGTGATCTTGAAATCCAAAAGTACCCGTTGCTGATCTGTCATCAGAAACAAGCGCTTGTCCAAGGGCAAGAAGGGCATCAAGAAGAGAACAGTTGATCCTTTTACCAGAAAGGATGAGTACTCTGTCAAGGTCAGTCCAGATCGATCTCGTATCCCATTGTCTTTGGCGTCTCTAACTTTTCCCAGGCGCCGTCGACTTTCCAGATCAGGGAGTACGTCTAGACCTGCAACTCCTCAATACCTTTCCCCCCGTTATTTATACTGACGAGATATAAGTGTCGGAAAAACTCTGGTAAACCGCACTACTGGTCTCAAGAACGCAAACGATTCGCTCAAGGGCCGTATCTTCGAGGTTTCCCTTGCCGACCTGCAGAACGATGAAGACCATGCTTTCCGCAAAGTGAAGCTCCGCGTGGATGAAGTCCAGGGAAAGAACTGCCTCACGAACTTCCATGGCATGGACTTCACGACCGACAAGCTGCGCTCCCTTGTCCGCAAATGGCAGTCCCTTATCGAAGCCAACGTCACCGTGAAGACCACCGATGACTATCTCCTCCGTCTATTCGCCATTGCCTTCACGAAGAGACGCCCCAACCAGATCAAGAAGACCACTTACGCACGGTCTTCCCAGATTCGCGCTATCCGGAAGAAGATGACTGAGATCATCCAGCGCGAGGCCGCCAGCTGCTCTCTTTCTCAACTCACCACGAAGCTGATCCCTGAAGGAATTGGCCGCGAGATTGAGAAGGCGACCCAGGGAATCTATCCTCTGCAGAATGTTTGTTTTTGATGAGAATCGCGTAATCGGATTTATGCTGACCAGATTATAGGTTCACATCCGCAAGGTTAAGCTCCTCAAGTCCCCCAAGTTCGACCTTGGCGCGCTGCTTAACCTTCACGGCGAATCTTCGACCGATGACAAGGGCCAGAAGGTTGAGAGGGAGTTCAAGGAGCAGGTTTTGGAGAATGTTTAAAAAATACGCCAGCGCCCACTGGTAGAGGTTGTTCACTATGGCTTTCCGCAACAAATGCAGCGTCAATTCATAGGAATGAAATGCGAAAGGCTTGTCCGTATTACACAATCATTGGTATCAATAATTGATACGCTAGTTTCTACTTTGAAATAGTGATGGTGATCAATTCTCTAAAATTTACAATGTTTATGTTTACGTCGAAAATTCTCTCTATAAGAGGCTGAGTCTTTGTACGTCTTTTGATATCAGGCGCACGGGGTTGGTATATGACGATACAACCATTATCAAATGGCTGTTGACGCACGCGAGACACGATAACGTCGATGCATTATGCCATATCTCTGCCATAAGGCTAGAATGCCATAAGGCTAGAATGCAAATTATTCCACCCTACTGATTATGCAAGTCCAATTTGACATTCCCGTCTTATTTTTCAGTATCCCAGCATGTTCTTTGTAACTCAGATCGGTGCGTTGTAGGATAGTAATAAGTTATTGATACAAAAGAAAAGCATAATAAAATGAAAGAAGGGGGAAACGGAAAACAAAGACGAGTTCACATGACTATAATCAGTTTCTTAATGGTTCTTCTCGAGTAATGGAGCACAGCGTTTAGTAATAGCACCGGTTGATCTCATGATTGTAAAAAAAAACTAGCTAACGCCTATGAGATCAGGGACTTGACAAATGCCGTCTTTCTGCTAATAAGACGTTCCCCGTGCCACATACACTGTTGTGACCGATTTGTTGCTTGGTAACTGGGGCCAAAATCACCGACTTACGTATCTCATGGGGTAAGAGAAAACCGGCTTTTATGTTTACGACCAACGAGGACCCTTGTCCTTCCCACATCCTGATACCAGTTTCGTAGTTCTGGAAAACTACAGCTTCGCCATACTGATCCGCAGGGGTGCCGACACATAGAACTGAACCTGAGTAACCTACAGCATTGTCAACATCGTCCTTCGACCTCCACAGCGTTGGCCTGATCGCTGACTTGACGGTCCCAAATGCACTCGCTACCAAGTAGCACTGCATTCGCCACTTCAGGAGTGACCTTGGTATCTTCGATAACTCTCCAATTCCCTGTCTGAGCATTGAGAGCTATGGCGAAAAGTATATGCCCATCAAGTACCTTTTTATAAGGCGCCCATGCGGAGATGGTAGGATAGCCGGAGCGACTGGTGAGCTCAGGTATCTTCTCCTTCGATTAAAGACAAATCATGGTGGTATCCCACAGGGAATGGAAGTATTGTGCTGGGCTGGTCATAGCACTACGTATTTTTGCCGATCTATGATAATGGTCAGCGTGACTTCGTAAGCAATGTAGAGCCCATGATTGATGCAAACTTTTGCATTCGTTCTGAGAAGTAGAATGTCCTTTCCTATCGGAGTCGACGACAGACTTTGGCGTGATACGCCGTACGCCCGAGATTCCCTGTCCAAGTGGGGATTACGAAATTGACTTAATGAATTCTTTGCCCGAACGATCCAATCTGCGAGACGCAAAAAGATTGCCGGCATAGTCGGGTTTTGGACATAAGCATGCCTTTCCTCCTGGCAATTTTAGCTTCAACCCCAAACAGCCGGTAGACTTCGCCTCCATATCTGAATCGGCGACACCTGATGAAATAGTCTGTGCAGCCACATTCAATGTTGCCGTATCTAGAAGAACTATGAGGCCGCCGACCTCATACGGGTAGCCGAGGGAACGGGTTTCTTCTAGATCCGTGGTGCTGCCAAACAGGACGCGAAGAAAGCCGGCGATGAGTACCTGGGCCCCAATGGCTGTCGGAAACACAACACGTAACGAATGTAAGTCCTGTTCTGTCAAAAAATTTCAAACATTAATTTGACCCTTGATCATGCTCTGTGCTAGTATGAACGGTACGGCCGTCGGTATGAGGTGACATTCGGATGGGAAAGCGGCGGCAAAAGATGTACTGGAAGGCCCCCGGCGTTGATTCTAGGGGCATCGCACGATATCAACCAAACGCGACTACCGAAGGGTGACGACGTGAGGTACACAGCTGAGGCTTTCGCTAAAGATTTGTGGTGGGTTCTTAGAAGTCGCTCATTCATTGGTGTAGTTATAAGTTGTCTCTAGCCCGGCCCGCAAGGATGCCCGATCCCCGGTGCCCCACTCCATCGAATCAATTCCTATTTAGGTTAGTCACATATAGCTCTCACATGTTGGTTGAGTGAGTATACTGAGTATCAACTGATGCCGCTATTCACGCGTGTCTGTATGCCTCAAAAGGATCTGCTCTGATCCAGATCTGAAATTATCCTAATATATCTTCAGGACGGATCCGGGTCCAAATTAGATTTATAAGATAATAGGCTCTAGTTAAACATCTCTTTGATTACAAATCAAATTCTTAAAATTTCTTGCCTAAACCAAGTCCTTTTTAACTTATTTTCTTGCTAGTTACTCATACCTTCAAGCGCTACTATTGATACTAATTTTATTAGACTATTTAGTTATAATAGTAAATCTAATAAACTCTTTGTATATTATAACTTAAAAATTACTTATAGAAATACCCAAAGAGTCATATTATTATTTTATTATATTAAAGAAACTAGATATGATAACTAAATAATTATCTTATATTAATATAAATAATTTAATAATAATTCTAGATAATTTTAGCCTGATACTTTTTTATAATATCCATAAAATTATTTATTAAAATAATAATTATAAATAAAGTTTTTATAGCTTTAGAATAAATCTTAATAAATAATACTAGTTTATATAATTATATTTTTATTATAAAAAAGTTTATAAAATATATTAAAATTAATATTAGATAAAATATTTGATAAGTAAATATATTATTTTTTTTATTAAATATAAAAACTTAATAATAAAGCTTTTAGGTTAATTAATAATACTAAAGCTAGTTATATATTATAACTTTTTTTTATAAAAGTTATTTAATTATATCTTGATTCCTAGAATATTAATTTAACTTAGAAACTTATTAAAAATTATAAAATAATGTTTAAAATTTAAGATTAAAAATTCTAAGACTAGTTTTATAAATCAAAGATAATTAATATTTTATAAGTAATAAAATAGACTTAAAAGGTAATAATTATTAAAATTATAAACTTTATTATAGTCTATATCATATAGACAGGAGAATAATTAGGTAAGGAGTATATAATAGAGTGGTATTTAGTATGACTTAGTGTGGGTTCAGGGTGGGTGTTACGGAAACCTAACGTGGTCGATACCCCACGAAGGCGGCACAGCCAGGCAAAAGCCCGACACTAATCAATGAATTACAGGATCGGGATCCCTGCATCACAAGAAACTACATCACATAATCACCTACTCCCAATATACCCCAAGGAGTAGCTACAGAGTAGCTACGTGGAGGAACATGCTATAAGCTTCTATCCCAGATATACTCCCAGGAGTAGGCAAGGAGTATATAGAATAAAGAATATATAAGAATACTTATTCACCTATATCTACAGTTTAGTTAGTCGTGTTTAATAATATTATTATTACTAAGTTACTATTCAGTCTAGTTTCTACTCGTCCATACTTAACTTAAGTAATCAGGTTTTCACACCTGACACGCCTTACTTCTCTTATTACTTATTAGTTACCTTTGGACCATCAGGTCACCTTATCAATCAATATAATTAGCACAGCCACTGTGTGAGGCCTCAGGTTAGTATAGAACCCATTGTTAATAGCTGACAGGAAGACCGCAGGGCGCTCTTCACCTTGAACAACCCAAGTCACCAACACTAGTACAGCAGGAGCAAGAAGGGATCCTAGGGTCTTGACAGTGGGTAAGAATCAACTTGTGTTAGGGGTGGCTATTAATAATTAAACTAGCTGCGCCTATATACAAGAAGAAATAGATAATATTATAATATCTGTTTCTACTGGTCAGTAATAAGCAGTGAATCAAGTAACTTAGATATTTTAATTGATTAGGGTTCTTAAGACTTGTAATCAAGAATTTATATTAATTCAATATTGATTTATAATAATATTCTTTATCTTCTCTAGAAAATAAGATCTAAATAAGATTAATATTTATAATTAATTTACTTGATATTAAAGTAAGTTTATTATTACAGAAACCTAATATAGTTAACACCCTATGGAGGTGGCATGACCAGGCAGAAGTCTAATATTAATTAACTAATAATAGGATTAATATCCCTGTATTATATAATAATATATTATATAATTACTTATTTTTATACTTATTTCTAGAGAGTAGCTAGAGAAGTATATATTTAGTCTAGTTTCTACTTATTTATATTTAATCTAAGTATTAAGTATATATATATAATATATCTTACTTTTTTTCTTACTTGTTAGTTATCTTTAGATTACTAAGTTATCTTATTAAATAATATAATTAATATAGTTATTATATAAGATCTTAAATCTATTTAATTTATTATTAATAATTAATAAGAAGATTATAGGATATTTTTCATTTTAAATAATTTAAATTATTAATATTAATATAATAAAAATATTAAGGGATTCTAGAGTCTTAATATATTAAATACTAGTTAATTTAAGTAAAGTCTTAGATTAACTTAAAAATAAAATATATTATTATATTAAATAATAATAAAATAAGTATATTAATTCTTAAGATTAGTAATAAAAGTAATTAAAATAAAACTAGTATTAGATAAATCTAATTAAATATTATAAATATAATAAATTAACTTTAGGTATATATTATAATCTTTAAAAAATAACTTATAATTTAAACTATTAAGATTAAAATATTAGAATTATTTAATAATACTTATTCTAAGCTATATATATTCTTAATATAAATAAATATATATATAAAAATAAATAAAGAGAAACTTATTACTAAGATAAATAAGATAATATTTATTATTATATATCTATCAGGTTTAGTATTTAATTAATTTAAATTATTTATTAAAAAATTTTAGAATAATATTAAACTAGACTAAGATAATAAAACTAAAAAAGTATTTAAAAATTATAATAATTTTAAAGAAAAACTTAAGATAATATTTAAAGATATTAATTTAATATAAAATATAAAATAAAAATTATAATAATTATAATAAATTAAATTAGTTAATTAATATATTATAAAATTCTAGTAAATTATATTTTAGTTAGATTAAAATAATAATATATATATTATATAATTTAAAGAT